ATAGGAACTTTGGTGTTTTTGAACATTCAATGTTACTCAAAACACTCTGCACACTATTCCAAATAACTGGTTTGAAACTGGTTACTTTTTAATTTTAGATTTCATTTAAAGTACTTAATGTGAACTTTCAGCGCTCTGCATGGTAGGCTGCATGGTGAGGCTCAGATAAGATAAAATAAGGACTTCATGATTCTTCTTAGGTAAATTCACTTGTCACAGCAGCAATAATAAAACGGACACAAGAGTAGAAAAAAGAAAAGCAAAAAATACAAATAAAAAACCTAAGATGAAAGTGAATTACACAGACAAAATCCAGATTTGGCATTTGCAAATTAGGGATTACTGGTTGTTCAAACAATTAAGACTATTTACTTGAGCAAACATGCAGTTGAGGATTTTTAGTAGATCAGACACACTCTACTGTATTAGAGAAAAGACAGTAAGCTACATGGAAGATGGAAGTTTTGGTCAATCAGATCCAGTAAAGCTCCTGAAGTATATTACCGATCTGTTAAAATGTTACTCTTCAAACTTGTGCCCTCAAATTATATAACCAGAAATCATTTATATTTGCTTTGAACTAGTGGAAAGGAGAGGGAATGGGGTCTTTCAAGCAGTCACACTTCAACTGTGTAACTCCCTTGTCCTTATGGTGTATTGACACTATTGAAACTTTTCAAAAGCAGTCTAATGTTAGAAGAGCTTTTAGGTAAACTGTTTCTGTTGTTGTTATTCTTCTTATCATTATTTTATATTTTATTAATTATATTTTTATTATGATGTTGATTTGGGTGACAATTATTTGACAAATATTGTATATTCATATATATGCTTAAAAACTCTTTAAAACAATTTTTTTCTTTTAAACTTGTGTATTGTTTGACTTTTAAAATGTTTGTATCAGGTGTAAACTGACTTTTTAAATAAAGTTGTTTTTAATGTGAGCAGCTCCTATTGCCTCGTTTAAAAACAGGGAGGAGCAGATTGCGCCGCCTTGCGTCTCCCCGGTGTTTGAGAACCTGGAGGACAAAAGGATACCAAAGAATCGAAAACTATGACAAAGGTAAATACTGAAAGTTTGATAAGTTTTCATCAATGAGTATTGTTAGGTATTTTAGTACCATGGGAGCATTTACTGGATATTGTTTTATAGTGACATTATACAGGAAAACTCTGTCATTCAATAAGGCCCCTTTGTTTCAGTTATTTTTCTCTTTGACCCAAGAATTGATGTGTGAGAATCACAGGCTGGTACAAGGTTGAAATACCACAGAGATC